GTCTATATAAACAGCATCTGTTTGTCTATATAAACAGTACCTGTTTGTCTATATAAACAGCATCTGTTTGTCTATATAAACAGTACCTGTTTGTCTATATAAACAGCATCTGTCTATTTATATAAACAGTACCCATTTGTCTATATAAACAGCATCTATCTATTTACATAAACAGTACCTGTTTCTCTATATAAACAGTATCTATCTATTTATATAAACAGTGCCTGTTTCTTTATATAAACAGTTTTTCTATATAAACAGTATCTATTTATATAAACAGTACCCGTTTCTCTATATAAACAGTATCTATTTATATAAACAGTACCTATTTGTCTATACAACCAGTACCCGTCTGACCACATGAATAGTATCTATCTGTATATATAAACAGTATCTATCTGTACATATAACCACAAACAATATCTCTCTATATAACCAGTAGAAAGAGTATCTATAACTGATGTTTCTCCTAACTTCTTAAGCTCAAGTTTTTGACTTCTGGTAATAAAAATAATTATAGTTGCATAATTAGTTGTTTTCTGTTTGTATATCCCACCTTATTAAGCTGTAACATAGAATTTTGACACATTGGATATTTATCCATTACCTGTTGTCAACACTACTATGTACAAGTGGCACATCATACATTAAATAGACTTGAATTTTAAATTTTACTTTATATTAAGTGATTTTAAAACTTGTTATGAATTATTAGTGATTAAACAGCATAAAAATAAACTGATTACTCTGGAACAATTACCGTTAACTTGTTTAGAGATGAGTATTTTTTGTTTTGTTTTTTTCTCGAAGGAAGAGTATATACAAGAAGGGATAAAATGGAAACCAGTGGAATATTTCAATAACAAAGTTGTGTGTGAATTAATTGAAAATAAATGTCCTCCTGGCATTATCTCTGTTCTGGATGACATCTGTGCTACGATGCATGCTGTGAATGAAGGTGCTGACGTCCAGCTTCAACAGGTAATTTTTCACATATACGAATTCACTCAGTTTCAATTAGTCTTTTCTTATTCTTATAAAGCTTTTCGTGATTTCTATTCGTAATGTTTGTGAGCTGGAATCCGTCTTTAAATCACGTAGTTAGATTTGCAACTTTGCTGTCTCTCATAGAATTGGACCAGCTAATTTAACCAGGTGTTATATGATTTGTTACACTGATCAGATCACATAAGGAAGTCTCGTCGCTATCAAATTGCACGTTTTATAATCTACCATTAAACAAAACCTATTAAAAGTTAAAGTCCGACGACTATCGGTTTCATCATAATTTGTTTTGTACTGACATTATAAAAATTACTTTCTAGTTTTTTATGGAAAGTGATAAATAATAGATCTGACAAAGATTACATTACAAAAGAATTATAGTGTATTGTTTTTTATTTCAGGCTGTATAAATGGTTTGCTAACTTTCGGTGATCCATTATTTAACTTTTCTGTCCTTATACATTTTACAGAAACTAGAAAAGTCAGTAGGGGGCAATGCTCATTTTCAAGGATCAGGCAGTGGATTTGTTATTCATCATTATGCTGGAATGGTAGGTTCTTATGTATGGCTAGAATTTGATTGTATTATAGTAAAGGTTACATACATATTTGTAGCAAGAAAGAGAGAAATTATATATGCATTACGCAGTCAGATACTGTTTATGTAGACAGATATTGTTCGTGTTTATATAGATGGATAGGTACTCTTTCTAACACATAACACTGAACATTATTACTTCAATTATCTTAATTTATATGATTTTAACAATACACATAACACTGAACATTATTACTCCAATTAGCGTGATTTATATGATTTTAACAATACACATAACACTGAACATTATTACTCCAATTATCTTAATTTATATGATTTTAACAATACACATTACACTGAACATTATTACTCCAATTATCTTAATTTATATGATTTTAACAATACACATAACACTGAACATTATTACTCCAATTATCTTAATTTATATGATTTTAACAACACACATAACACTGAACATTATTACTCCAATTATCTTAATTTATATGATTTTAACAACACACATAACACTCAATATTATTACTCCAATTATCTTAATTTATATGATTTTAAGAACACACATAACACTGAACATTATTACTCCAATTATCTTAATTTATATGATTTTAACA